GGGCAAGCAGGGGATATGAGGCCTCAAGGGAGATGGCACATGGAGGAAGAAGGCAGTGCCGTGTCATGTCACATCCTGCTAACCACATTTGCCAGAAAGCATGTGAAATTACCCTTGTTAGTGATATTTTAATCACATGTAACAAATGGTTGGTTGTGTTTAGGAGATAAGACCTGCAAAGTCAAGGTTTCACCTGGGCCATCTGTTCATAAGGGTCACATGACCTCACTAATACCAATAAACAGATGATATCTTTGTGCCAGCCACCAAAAGCAAAAAAAACAATAACTCTAGTGGTCAGAATAGAAGGCTCAAAGCAACGGGATTCTTTTAGGACAGGAACACACTATACATGCCTACTATTAACGAGAATTATACCCAAAATTCTTTCATACATATTCCTTCCCTTTCACTGAAAAAAAAAAAATTCAAGTCTGGCTATGGTCTTGACATTAAATTTTTAAATCATACTGTTTGGGGGGGGGCGGGGAAATTATTCAATCAAATTCTCTCTTTCTCCCAAGGTTTTTCTACTAGCTCACAGGAGAGCTGGTGCTAACCTCCTGGAACACGGCTCTTTCAACTATATCATTCATTTTCAACCTTTGGTGGGATGGGGACAGTGAAGCCACTTTTTCAAACAAAATCATACACAGAATCCCAATATATAAAGTAGACAAAAGCTAAGTTGACCTATATGAAGTAGATCTAAAGGTGTGCCATCCTGACCTTGCTTGCTGAGTTTCCTGAGGCAGCTTCATGGAATAAAGTTTGAAAACCACTATACCAGTCTAGATGATATTTTCCCAACTCATTATTTCTATTGTTTATTTGCTAAGTAAGCATTTACAAGTATAGCCCTATAAAAAGGTAAATTACCAAAAGCCAAGCTCTTCAGAATAGGTTCTATGAAAATACTTTGGCCAGTGAGGAGCAGTACTAAAGCCCTGGGGATTACACACCACGGAAGTCAGCACTTTCCTCTAAGCCTTGCCACACGCTCCACATTCCACAACGATAACAGATTCAGTTGATTCATACCTCAATCTCTACATATGTAAAAACAATAACAGAAAATTTCAGGGCATTCAGATGGGCTACACCAAATGTACCACATAATTCATTTCAGGCAAGAAATAGCCCCCACTGCTTATCACTCTCCCTTCCACAGCCCAGTAATCAAAGCATAAGGAGAATTTAAACAAGCCTTGTGTGAACTATGCCTGTAAGTCATCACAAAATTTTCAAAATAATCCTGTTAAAAATCCAAATAGTAGTTCCTAAATGATGGAATCACTTATTAAATACTATTTTCCAGGGAGATATCATTCACTCACTCAAAATACATTTTGTCAAACCAATGGTTAATTCTCAGTTCTCTTCATTTGCCACATTTGATCATGCCTTCCGTAATAGATAAAGAAAGTGAGGCTCAGCAAATATAAGTAACTTATTCAAAAAATCATACAAACTAGTACATATCAGAGACTGGAACTGATATATGACTCCAAAACCCATGCTCAAAAAAGCCTCATAAATATTTGAAATTGTGTGTCAAACCCATAGCAAAAGCCTAATAAGCCCTTTTTCTGCTCTGTAGGGTAGAACCAGAAGCAGATCAACTTAAATGTACACATGCATTTAAATAAAAACTAAAATAAAGGCTCTTGATTTTTCCCATGTGTCTTTTTCCATCTCTTCTTGCTGATCTCATATATTTAATTCTCACATGGAGAAGTAAAATCCGTTCATTAAGAATACTTTAATAAAATTCTCTTCCAGTGTATAAATGCACAATAACATTTTCATTGTGTATTTATACACTGGAAGAGAATTTATGGTCTATATGGATCTAACTGAATGACATTTATTCAGCAAATCTTTATTGAACATCTACAATGGGTACACATTTAAACCTTATCTATATAATCCTATGTGGAGAGCTTGACATTTTAATAGAACTGAACATTTCATGCTTCCCCAAATTACTCCAGTAATTAATAAAGGAAAAGGTATGAAAGAGTATGGTATTTGAAGTGAGAATTTTACTTCAGCCTTTAACAAGCGATATGAGTGCCTTTGGTATACTTGGACACATAAGGGAAATACTACTCTTTATCAACCAGCCTTATTATCCTTGTAAGAAAATGGATAAACCAGCCTTATTATCCTTGTAAGTAAACTTGTTTCATGGTGTCATAATAACCATTAAATAGGCCACATACATAACTATCTAAAATAGCACTGTCCAAGAGAACTTTCTATGATGACAAAAATGTTCTATATCTTCAATGTCCAATATGATAGCCATTAGCCACATGAGCACTTGAAACATAGCTAATGTAACTGAGGAACCAAATTTTTTACAGAAATAAAAGTTTATTTCTCATTCAAAGTCCAGGAGACTCTCACCCAGGAACTGAATTTTATAATTTTATTTAATTTTAATTACTTTAAATTTAAATAGCCACATATGACTAGTGACTACTTTACTGGACTGTGTTGATCTAGAACAAAGCCTAGCACATAACAGATAACTGACATTGGTTTATTTCTATGTTCTCTATCATTATCAGTAATTTTTTATATCCCCCTCTTTACTAGATCAGTTCAACTAAAATAAAATAACTAATATCCCCCTCTTTACTAGAAGATCAGTTCAACTAAAATAAGTAGAATCTCCTATAGGAAACTAACTTATAGCTATTAAATTGCTTCTTCACCCAAACAGCAATAGGAGCATAAAAACAAAAGTCATTTATTAATTAGCTGTATGCTCCATACACTGTGCTAACAACTTTGCATGATTACCTTATTTATTCTTTATGATAATTCAATGAAGTAGATGTTATTATTTTGTAAGAAGGGAAATTAAGCTTAGAATTTGTCCAAAGACACACAGTTAGCAAGTCAGTAAACAAAGATTTAAACCCAGGCAGTCTAATTCCAGAGACTGTGCATAAGGACCATGTTAAGCTGCCTGCATTTTAAAGAACCAGTTTACATAAAATTATGTACTCCACAATAAATAAATGTCCTCCCAACCAAACGCGCGTGCGCACACGAGCGCACGCGCGCGCGCGCGCGCGCACACACACACACACACACACACACACAGAGCAAATTGGAAATACCACACACACACACACACACACACAAACACACAGAGCAAATTGGAAATCAAACAATTTGAGCTTTAGACACAGTGTTATGCATGCTAACCTAAAGTAAGTCTCATGTACTAACTGGTATAACTGTAAATGTACCAAATCCAGTGACTACACTTATCAGTAAGGCTGAAAAACCACCACCACCTTTCTCTCTAGAATAAAATGACTAAAATATAAACTCCTATTTTAGAACAAATAGCCTATTTTGATAAAAGGGTCAGGGAGCAGAGACTGGACCTAGAAGCACAAGGCATAGGTAGTCAATATTTACTAGAGCCCCATGTCACTGGGATATGTATTTGTTAAGACATCAAACATTTCTGCTACAAGAAGATTAACTGGATTCATTACATTTGCATGAAGCACACTGCCACTCTTATCTCAATTCTAAAAGGAACTTATGACAGCATTTATGACAAAGTGTTTATTGTGCCCAAAGCTGGAATTCTTATTCCAGTTCTGCCTGACAAGTCAAGAGGCATATTTTACACAGCAAGCCATAGCATACTCTTTACTGAATTCCACAAGAACTTCTGGGTAGCAGGATAGGTCATATCTGACCCATTTTCTTCTCTCATGAAGACGAAGACGTGAAAAAGAAAAGGCCATTAACTTTTTACCCAGATCAAAACAAAGTATGTAAATCTGTCTCCTCCAAATCCATCATGTCTCTGGTTTCTCTTCAAAATTCATGATCCTTCATATTGCACAAGCTCTTTGGCCAAAGCTAGCATTGAGAAGTTCTCAATCCAGTATTACCAGTCACTAAAAATAAACTTCCTTAAAGATCTGTAATAAGTAACTTTTTAGGAAAACACTTGTACTTGTTTAGAGTTCCATCATACATCAGCTTACGGAAGTACAGATGAAGCTAAAACCCTAATAAAAAATACGAATAGCACCAATGTTCTAGAAACATTACTAAAAAAAACCAAGGAGCTGATGTAAGATAGAACAGTCAGGTAATTATGGAACCATTTATGTAGCTTTGCCTGACCTGGTACATGACCTGGAGCTAGTCTCTTTGCCACTTTATGCCTTTCAATCCTTATTAGTGATAGAGAATTAACTACTATATATCTCAGTCGAATAGTGAGTACATTAAATTAATAAACAAAATGCTTTGGGCAAAAGTCAAATAAATGTTAAATATTATGAAATATTAAGCATTCATTTTCTTAGCACTCCTGTGGGGTTAGGAAGTTATCTAGATTTCATAGATGTGTAAACAGGCACAGGAGGTAGGTCACATGGTAAGCTTCCATTTACTTAGTCCCTGTGGGAAGGGAATAATATATAACTTTAGCAATCATATGAACCCTCTTGGCATATCTTACACAATCTTTAATACATTGAATCCTTAACTTAATGTTGCATCTTTTAACATACCATCAACGGAACAAACACAGCTCTGAATAAGTGAGGAAAAATAATTCTGTGTGCTTTGGCAAGAACAGTCATAGAAAGATACAGATAATCTCAAGATGAAATTTGCATTATTATTTTCAAGATTTCATCTCCACTAACATGTAGAGTCCTTCAACCATAGGAAATAAGAAACATGGTTTCTATGAAAACACTCTGAAAATAATTTTTAAAGGCTGTCACAGGCTTTCATGATGGTGTGTCCCATCCAAGTTCCCTGGAATGTATATTTGCCCTTTGGGCTTTTTAGCAACTGTTCAGAAAGAGAAAACAAATCCAAAGAAACTAAAGAATGAGAAGGGCTAAGGAAGGCCAAAATGAGGGCAAAAATACTACTCATGTGTAATGGAATATAAAAAGAAGCACAGAAGATTTTTTGCTCTTATCTAAGGCTGTATTTCTTACCCGACTCCGAAGACAGTCAGCCAGGTTTCGGCGTGTGAAATTAGCTGCTGCTGTAGGAGACAATTCATAACCTGGTACAAGAGATAAAGGGTCACATTTAAGTGAAGCAGAAGGAATAACAATACCCCAAATCATTCCACCACTCCTCTTCTTACAGCCTACCATCCTCTGTATACTCAAGAATATTTAAAGAACAAGGAGTACAATCTTATTTCTTGTCCTTTTCCCCATATAACAGTTGTGAAATGGCTCGTTAGTACTGACAATAATTCCTGGTCACATAACAGAACCAAGGTGAGATCTAACCATTCTGTGGTAAGAATAAATTCACAGCCTTAAGTTATTCATTCATCAACAGACTGTAGTTTCCTCTGTATAATGAAAGGGATACAAATACAAAGGTGTTGAAAAAAAAAGAAAGAGGTCTTGAGATGCCAATTTTTTTTAGTTTATTTTAAAAAGATAAAGGGAAAAGAGAGGCTGGGAGTTAGGATCGTCTCAGAGTTATATTTTACAAAGTTTTCTTTTTTAAAAAAGTAACTTTATTAAGAAGTGTAATAGGATTTTCAAAAGTCCAAGCCACCGAAAATAAATTTTCTACCATTAAACATTTTTAAAAAGAGTATCTCAAATGTAAAACCTTTAAAAAAAAGTTGTAATGCCAACAAAAATACAGTCCAAAGGAATGGCATCAGGTGTGAATTTCATAGTGCACTCACTTCGGAACGTAACTCTCAGTAAAATGGGACTAGTACCGAAAGACACAAGAATGACTCACAACTCAGCAGGCTCACACATAAAATGCCAATTTAGAAAGACACATAGCATGTGGTTATTCCCTATAACATTTTAAACACCAGTGTCACGTAAGATTTAGATTAAAATTCTAACAAATATTTATTGAACAGCTACTATATCTCAGGGTCTATGTTAGGTGCTTTCACATATGTTAATGAATTTCATCCTCATGTCAAGTCTCTTAGTAAATATTAAATCATAATGGAAGCAAATTTAGACAAGCAGATATACTTTCCAATTCTCTACCTAATACTGTAAATACAATTAAGGATTTGACAGTTATTTTAAAGGCAGAAAAGTCTGATGCCTGACCACCCACAGATACATTTTTCTTTCTTTCTCTTATTTTAGCTCAGTTCCTAAACTTTAATATGCATAGGAATTACTGCATAAAGTTACATACACAAAACTATACTTGACAGGTAATTATAATGCATCCTTCACTTGCCATGTAGGCAAAAGTAAAACCATTAAAAAATAATTCTTGAAATTTTCCAAGCTGCTTAAACCTAAGTACATGTGCTTTAGGTTCCTGACTGGTGGAGAATGAGCCCTGTTCATCTTTGAATTCTCTATGGTACTAGGCAGAGTGTTTAACACAGATGAGGCCCTCAAAAATATTTATGGAATTGAATAAATAATCCTAAATTTGCTGCCTAAAAAACCATATGAATGAATCATATCTAGTCATTTTACATATACAATTATATTCAAATTAAGTTCCTTCACAGCTCCACATTATACCAGTGCTGTGTATAACAGTGTTATTAAACTGTGAAATAAGTAAATGAAAATAAGGTTCTTTCTGCTAGACTGTCACTATAAAATTTCCTAGATCAGAGGGCTAATAGCTAATATTATTTGATTAAGGGGCTTTCCCAGTGGATAAGAGTTCATGAGCCCCAGAGAGAACTCACAAAATATCTCACAAAAAACTAATTATCTTCCTACACAAGAACTTACCAGCAAGGCAAGGCAGAACTCTTTTATGACAGTAATGCAATTACTCAGAGGTTTAAGTTTACAAAGCATTTTCATACATATTATTCATTAACATTATTATAATTCCATTTTAGAGATAAGGAAAATAAAAGGGCCAGAGAAGATAAGTGACTTGTCATATCAAAAAAAAAAAAAGTAAAACCAGGTTAACTTAGGTCTTTTAGTTCTGAGATTCAGATATACTTTAGCTCAAATCACATCCTCTGAAATATCTAAGATTTAAAAAGTCCGATAGTACCACACCCATCTCTAAGATGGTGTTAGTTTTATCCCCCAAGTATCAGTGTTATAATGGTTCTCTTCTCTGCTCTGAGAATTTTGTAGAAAATCTTTAGGATCAGAAAGAGGGTCTAGAGATAAGGTTTCAAAAATAAGAAGACTCAAACAAAAACATGACCACCTTGGTCTGCTCATGTGGATAACCACCAATAGAGAATATTCTTTTCAGTTCAAGGTTAAAGACAAACCAACTAAAAATACATTCTAAATGTTACCCACCATTTCGCATCTTATAAAGTTGCACATTTTTCTGAATATATTCTGCAAACTGTACAGTGTCTCCAGCCTCTCCAACACATAGGAGTAAGATTTTCTCACTCATCTTAAACATCTTGTCATGATCTGCTCAAAGAAAAAATCAGTGTTAGAAATTACCTTCTCAGAAATTTACAATTATATAGGTAACTACAAACAGGTTTATCAATTACTATATTTAATAATTTGACTAATCACTGTTTTTAGAAGATTTTAATGGGCAACTGCATTAATTACTCTCTTCATTCTCTATGTTAAACCCATCGGCATATTTAACGTCAATTTCAGTTGGAGAATATATATGAAAGCTAACAATTGAGAACACTGTTAAAAATATTTAAAGGCCTTTGAAATGCAAGGAACAAAACCAAAAAAACTGAAGAAATCAAGACATTACCTTTAGGCTCATGAGTACAAAGCCCTGAAATGTCTCTATTAATACAAACGCTAGTTATTATGTTTATACACATACAAAAGCACATATGAAAAAGATTGGTGCTACAATTAAAATTAAGGTGCCATCTCAAGAAAGAAATCAATTGAGAATACAAATCACCTTAAAAAGTAAACCACCTCCATTTCCAAAGCAAAAAGAAAATTAAAATGGTTGCCAAAGTGAAAATTCTAAGGAACATGTAACACTAAGCTATTTAAAAACTCCTCAAAAATCCCAACATGCTAATCTTATCTAGCTGAACCAGACTCACTCAGATTAGACAGATAAATAAGTAATATGACTACAATTAGTGCCTAAGGAAGAACATTCCATATTCAGTTTGCAGCTTCAGAAAAAGCCTAAATCTTCCTATCTTACTCTTGCTTTCACTTTTCATTTTTCAAATAGTGCTGAATAATCTTCCCTGGGAGACATGTTTCCTGCATGAAAGCTTCTGAAATGTCAAAATCCCTTAATAGGATTTAAAAAACAAAATGCTATAGTCAAACATTTTACAAGTGTTTGTGAGTTGCAGATACCAGGAACACGGCTTAGACTTTGAAAACACACACACACACACACACACACACACACACACACACACACACTGCCATTAGATAGTTTCAAATTGCCTTGAAACTCCTAAACGAACAAGCTTATTTGTTATAGACTACAAGAGATTTAAAGATTGTTAGTTTGCACACTTGTTTAAGAAAGAAAAAAAAAATTACTTACAGTTATATTACCTATGCAAAGAAAAAGGACCAGAAGAGTATTAGATGCCACTGGCATCTAAGTTTTTGCCAGTGGCAAGAGTATGGGCAATTTGTATTTCCTTCTTTTTGCTTATTAGTAGTTCCTAAAATGTCTATACTTATTAACGCACATCATTTTTGTAGGAAAGCATTACTTAATAAGTTTGCATTATTTTCATGAGAAGAAAAGCTGTTCTTATTATGTCCCATTTAGAAGAAATGCTAAAATTCTAGGCAGTAAACTGTTCGACTTTGAAATAAACTTAATACAAGGCCAAAGTGGCTTTTAAACATCTATTGCATGTCCAGTGAGTAATGAGGGGGCATATAAAAACAAAAGTGATAGATGATAATGTCTCCCTGAGTTGTGCAGGAAACAGCTTGTGTAGTTCTAGGGAATTTCTGATCCTTGACAAAGAACTTACAAGATCCACATACAAGAAACAAATGGACAACAAAATGAACATCAGTGAACAAGTCTATGGAAAACCAGCTAGATTAGAACCCAACAGACCTTAGTCATAATCTGGGCTCAATACTCTGAATCTGGGTAAATTATTTGCCCTCTCTAAGCCCTGGTTGCCAAGTATGTTCATAGTAAAGCTATGACTTATTGCTACCTAACTCATAGATGGAAAAAACTGTACATGTTCAATATTATTAGACTCAGCGTTAGACGATATAATTCAGATTATACATGCTATATAAATACAGAAAAGAAGAGCATTCTGTGTGGGCTGGAGAATTCCGAACAATTCTCTACAGGCCAGGAGACAAGAGACAAGAAATGAGGCATATAACTAACTAAAATGAAGAGTTGTGATATTTTAATACACAAGCAATCTCTGGGAAATATCTTCTCTATTTTTGTATTAAATATCTTACAAAGTGACAAACTAACACACTGATTGGAAGTATCATTCTCATTTTATACTTGGAAAAAATGAATCCCAAAAGGTTACTCATTTTCAGCATTCTCACCTATCCTAAACAAGTTCCTTCACGAAATGAAAGGTAGGAAAAAGTCCTTATACAGTCCCAAAGTTCCTATCACAAAAATTTTTATACCAGAAAAGACGATAGGAAAAACTAAATACTGAGTTAAGTGCAATTATTTCCAACCATTTTTCAAGAACTAACTCAAATTCATCTTTCTTCCATACCACAGTGATCTTTCTTTTCTCTGAATACCCTTAAGATTTACCTTTGAAATCATCAATTTAAAAACTATCCTAATACTTACTAGTGATACTTCTTTTATCATACAAAATCATTCTGTAGTATTTATTTCCTTGGTTTCTTAATGTCTTAGACCACTCTATGGATTATACATAATACGCTGCATCCCTTATAACACCCAGAAGCACTGTGTACATAAGTAGGCTTAAAGAACATTCTACTTTTCAAAGTGAATTAACATACTTTATTGTGATGAAACAGAACAACTGTAAAGGTACTGACTTGGTTATTGCTCTATTTGGGCACCACTTCATGCTAAAATCACTTAAATGTCAAAGGTCTTAGTTTCAAAATAATGGACAGATTATTTTGTTTTTACTCTCAAAATAATTTTACTCCTTTGGAAAGCATGATTTACAAACAGAACTTCTACAAACTAATCATGGAATTTCGTATAGTAATTTGACTTACAAAACAATCCATATCACAATACAGATATTTAACAAATCACTTTCAAGTCTACTTCTTCTTCAGAAAGAAAAGAACTCAAGCAAAGTCCCTCAGAGTTCTTTCCAAGTGATGACAACCTGACAACCAGATCGCTGACAAAAGCAGTGGCGGATACTTTTTTCCCTTTGTTCGCATACTTCAGGAAACCCCAGATTTAATCATTTTTCTTTCTTTAAACCCCAGATGAACTATTATCTGCCCTCAAAGCTTTCCCTAATCTCTACAACCAGAATCTCTTCTTCCTTTGGATTATCTAAAAACAATCTCTTCTTCCTCTGCAGTACCTGAGAAGTTTGACTGTACTTTTCAGAAGCAGCATAATTTTCTAGCTTGTGTTATAATTATTGGTACACATGTATGAGTCTCTTGTTAAATTGTATTCTTTTAAGATACAGGCCATATCTTATTCTTCTTTGCATCCCTTCAGCATTTAGCACTGTAAAAGTTACCTAAGTGCCCAAAATCTATTTGTCAAGTGAACATTAGGTCACCAGCACCAAAGAATAGTATTTTTTCAACAGTAACATGTCTATAGTCAATCCTGAAAACACACTCTTGGATTCCACAGATCAATAATCAAAAATCTTTAAACAATTATTTACTGAGTCCTGACTATAAGGAAACAGTATGAACAGTTATGGGCAAAAGATATGGATTCAAACTGCATAGGTTTGAATCTGGGTTCTGCCACTGTGGCCTTAGGTAAGTTTCTTAACCTCTATAAACTAACCTCAAAACTAACACCTATAAACTGGCGATATAATAATGCCTACTGCAAAAGGTTAAATGAATAATGTAAATTGCCTAAAACAACACCTATACATAGTGTTTAGTATTATTATTATTAAGTATCTGTCACTGTGCTAAGCAATGGCAAATTTTTTTTCACTAAATCCTTCCAACGAGCTTGTGAGATTAGTATTACTAACCTGATGTAACGGATGAGGAAATTAGGGCACTGCAAAATAACTTGTACAAACTCATAAAGCAAATTTAAAAAAACAAAAACAAAACAGGGCTCTAGTCTCCCAACTCCACTAACTACTTAAATGTAAGAAAAACGAAACATCAACGCCCTGGAAAACAAGGATGAGAGCTGAAACACGGGAGAGTACAGGCAGCGAAGGAGAAATGCCAAGTTTCCGGTCGCACAGTCTCACTCTCCCCAGGATCCCACCTTATGCTGCCAGTAAACTAACCACATTAGTAACGACAACAGGAAATTCATCAGAGATTCTGTGGTGCCCGGCAGACGCTTAAATACCTAAAAACTTAATTCCCTTAGGCAACTCTCGCCTAGCAAGCTTTTAACGAAGGCCGGAGCAGAGCACTGACCTGGGAGCCTTGGGAGGAGCGAATATTAAGGCCCTAAACTTGCCTGCCTGTCTCCTAATTCTAAAAAATAAGCAAGTGTAGATCGAGGCAGGAGGGGTCCCAACTCCCTGACCTCCCTGGTACCAACCCAACATCCTACCACCATCACCACGAACTTTTTCCCGGCTGCCCCTACACCCAGGCCCAACCCGGCCTCCCCTGGTTCCTCTCACCGTCCTTCATCTGGACAATATTGTTAGCGGCCACCCGGTCAGAGGCGACAAGGACATAGTCGGGGCCCTGGATGCCGATGAGATACTCCATGGTGGCGGGAAGACGGGTACTGTAGTTTCCGAAGAGTCAAGGATTCGCCGGCTTCTCGGCCGCACCGGTGAGACAGCACCGCGGACTGCAGTTTTGCTCGACGCAAGCCGCGCGACGGCCCCGGCCACTGGCGCTCTCAGATGACGTACAACTGTCGCGAGAGGTTGCAAAGCGGATGTGCGTTTGTTGTATTAAGCTCCCTGTTCGTTTCTTGGCGTGTCTGGTCTGTAGCAGTGCAGGCACTTTTGAGCGTTCACGTTATGTAACGCCAAATTTCGATAATTATAAACTGAGAGTTAAAAACTTGCTTGAGGATGAAATCATGTACTATATCTAAAGTCCCGAGCACATATAAATGCCAAAAAGGCGTGTGTCCCTACATGGCTGTTTGCTTGGTAAAATATCTGCAGAAACTCATTCCTTACAAGCCAAACTGGAGAAAATAAATTTGACCAGAGCCCTTTTTACATGTTTCACAAAAATAAAATACGAGTGAGTTAAATTTATAAGCGTAAAGACTAAAGATATCAAAACAATGGAAGAAAAAAGAATAATTTGATCACCTTTTGAAGGGACACGTGTTTCTAAGTATGACAGCAAACCCAGAAACAATATTGACAATACTGTTTGACAATTCGGCTACATAAAGTCTCTATATGGTGAAAGTCATCATAATGTTCAAACATAAATATAAATTGAGAAGTATTTCAATATATGAAATAGTTAATATCTGTAACTTAAAAGGCATTCTTACAAATCAGTGGAGGAAAGATAACATGATTTTTTAATGGCCAAAGGTTAAGGACATGCAATTCACAAAAGAAGCAATACAAATAGCAAATAAACATGAAAGATCTGCAACCTCAATGGTAATTAAGAACATGAGAAATATGCAACACTAAAATTATAAATTCTTGGTAAGATTATAAATTGGTCATGACCTTTTTATAGAGGACAATTGGATATCTATTAAAATTAAACGTACATAACTTTTTATATGTGTCCTAAACAAATATATGTATAAATATCCAAATATTTGTATGCAGAGATATTCACTGTAGCACTGCAATGGCAAAAGGAGGGGACCAACTGAAATGTCCATAAGTGGAGAATTTATTGTATAAATTATGATACACTCATGCAATGGAATATTATTCAGCCATTAAAAAGAATAAAATGAATCTAAATATACTTATATATTCCTTGTGGCTCAGAAATGTTAAATGAAAATGAAAATGCATTCCTATATGTAGAATGATGCCATTTTGTTCTATATATATATATATATATATATATATGAATAAGAATGGAAAAATATATTTACATATGTTCCAACCTCAAATTATATGCAGTTGTTACCTCTGGTAAGAGTGATGGGAAAGGTCTCTCACCTTTTATTTTATATATATCTGTATTGTTTGAATGTTTCACAATGCTCCTATATTACTTATTTTTTAAAAATAAGACAAAGCATAGCCATCATTTTATATCTGCCAAGCATTCTGGAAAAAGCTGAAATAATCCAGGATTACTTTCTGACATCCACAATTCAGTCTCCATACTAGCCATACTAGCTTCCTGAAAAATGGAAACAGAATTGCAATTTTATTTCAAACACAACCGTGCAATTCATTTGCTTCTGCAGAAATGTATAATTCTTACTCTATTCTGAATGTTTCTTCCAGCTCTCTGCCCATGAAGGAACACAGACCCTGAGGAGTTTGGGGCAGCCCATCTATCATGGGATGGATACCAGGGGCAAGGAGGTCATTAAGTCAACTATCCCACTATGAACACAGATGCATCCATCATCCTAGAAATCCTTTTCTTAAACATTACTGGGAAAGAAGTCTCTCAAGCCTTTGTCTCTCCCTTTCTCTCGCTCCCTCCCTCCTCCTCCCCATCTCTGCCATTGTGTGTGTTTTTTAATTGCAAAAAGTACATATTTATACTACACACACACATATATACACACACATACAAATAATATAGAAGAAATGAAGCATTAAATACTTCTCCTTCCACCAGATGTCTGTATCCTTCCAGATCTTTTTTCCTTCATACCTACCAATATTCATTCATTCATTCATGAAGGCTGCAGAATTCTAAATTAGAATATCCGCAATCTTTTTTTTTTAAAGAACCCAACAATCTTTTAAGCTGGCTATTCTCTCTTCCTCTCCAAGACTCTTGAAATCTCCTCTAGATAAATCACACCAGAGAGTCTCTTAACTTCTTTATATAGAAGAAAGTGGATTTTCAAGACCTAACTTGTGTTATCTCACTAGAAGTCAAGGAGAATTCCTCCTCCACTTAAAGGCTTAGAATAACTGAGTCTCAGAATTAGAAAAAAATGTCTGTGCTTGTTCCAGAAACAGCATGATGTAGCCAACTTTTCCTGTAAAGACCAGATAGTAAATATTTTTGCCTTTTCAGACCATACAGTATCTGTCACACTGTTTAATGATACCACTGTAAGAGCAAAAGCCACCATAATCAGCACATAAATAAGTGACCACGGCTATGTTCTAATAAAACAAAACCATGTGAGGGGGAGAGACAGTGGTGGATTTGGCCCACGGGCCATAGTTTCCCAATCCCTAATGTAGCAGGAGGACTGTAAATCAACACCTAACTCTGGTCCCATCTCTACTTTTTCCAATCTTGGTGCAAAATTTATTAAACTTCAATTTCCTTATTCATAAAAGAGATATTCAGAAGAGAGATTTGCTTTGTATTTCTTTTGAGATAGGAAGGGGATGCAGGTTTTGGTTGGTTCCATCAATATAAGGAACCATATCCTGATTCTTCATGAACCCTGAGGAGTTTGGCAGGAACTTATAAAAGAATAACTGTACTGTATCTAGAAAATATGGCTATAATATGGTAAGCTACCTGCCTTGCCAAGACTCCCAAGCCCAAGGTGACATGGAAGTATCAGTATAGCCCACACTCAAAGGACTCTGTGAGCTTAGACAATAGTGTAGGGACAACGTTAGGCTGGAGATCAGAAGCTCACCCCTAAATATTCAGAAATGTTAATGTATTGGATACTGTCAATGCCCTGCCCATAGCCCTATTACCTACCTGTGGTAGCTGCTATTCCCCAGTTGCTAAAAATGTTGTTTGGTAACATCTCACAACTGTCCCTTTAGTCAGAGAATTTCCCTCAACCATGTGGGAGGCATTCTTGCCTGAGAGGTTCTGTACCCATACCTGCCCCCAGCCAATGACTGATTGACACAAGGGGAAAAAAATCAGTTCCTTCAATTTAAAGTGGGATAGTTTGTCCTCCAGAATCTCCCTGTGGATCAGCCTAAAGCTAGTCTACAGCCAAGACCACATTCTTGCTTAGCTTTTTCCCCTTGCCTAATCTCGCTTCTGTTACTCCCTTTTTCCTGAGAGTACTCCCCCAGAAAAAAGTGACTTGAATAAGCATCTTCATTTTGGCTCTGCTTTTAGGAAACTTAATCCAAAATATTTGGTACCAAAAGTGATTCTAGAAATTTATGAGATGTAGCAAAAGTAGTTTTAAGAGAGAAGTTCATAGCTATCCAGGCCTACCTTAAGAAACAAGAAAATTTTCTAAATAAACAACCTAACTGAAAATCTAAGGGAACTAGAAAAAGAACAAACAAAACCCAAAGTAAACAGAAGAAAGGAAATAACTAAGATCAGAGTGGAAATAAACAAAATAGAAAGTTTTAAAAACAATAGAAAAACATCAATAAAACTAAGAGCTGGTTCTTTGAAAAGATAAGCAAAATTGACAAACCTTTAGGCAAACTTGTCAAGGAAAAAAGAGAGAGAGCCCAAATGAATAAAATCGCAAATGAAAGACAAATTACAACTGATGCCACAGAAAAACAAGGAATCATTAAAGAATACTACAAAAAATTATATGCCAACAAATTCAATAACCTAGAAGAAATGAAAATATTCCTAAAAGTATATAATTTTTTAAGACTTTACCAGGAAGAAACTGAAATTTTAAACATTGTGACTACTAACAATGAAATTGAACCATGGTCTCCTAACAATAAAAGTCCAGGACCAGATGACTTCACAGGTGAATTCTACCAAATATTTTAAGAATTAATACCTATCCTTCTTAAACTATTTCAAAAAATTAAAGAGGAAGGAACACTTTCAAACTCATCACATGAAGCCAGCATTACCCTGATACCAAAACCAGACAAAGATAATACAAAAAAAGAAAATTATAGGTCACTATCCTTGATGAATAGCGATGCAAAAATTCTCAACAAAATATTATCCAAATGGATTCAACAATACATTAAAAGGATTATACACAAAGTGGGATTTTCCCAGGGAGGCAAGGATGGTTCAACATCCATAAATCATGATACATTAACAAATAAAGAATAAAAATCATATGATCATCTCAATAGATGCAGAAAAACCATTTGACAAAATTTAACATCCTCTTATGATAAAAACTCTCAACAAAGTGGGTATAGAAGGAACATACCTCAACATAATAAAGGCTATATGTGACAAACCAACAGCTAATATCATACTCAACAGTGAAAAGCGGAAAGCTTTTACTCTTAGATCAGAAATAAGAATGCCCACTATCACCACTTCTATTCAACATAGTATTGGAAGTCTTAGCCACAGCAATTAGCCAAGAAAAAGAAATAAAAACTTGTATTTGGAAATAAAATAAGCCTGAGTTTGAATCCTGGCTCTACCATTTACCAATTGGCAGATCTCGACCAATATGCTCATCTTCTTTGAGTTTCGTTTTCTGTAAAATGGGGAATGAACATGAAAGTTCATTCTACTTATCTTGTAGAGTTGTTGTGAGGATGAAATGAGATAAAACAAAGTGCTTTGCCTAATGCCTGGTGTAAGTATGCATTCAATAAATATTGTTGTTGTTGTTGTTGTTGTTATTATTTTCATCATCTTCGAAGTCATTTGTTCAAGCTCCAGAGCTGTTCAGTAGCTGTGCAAAGGGCCAATCAATACCCAGTAAGAACTGTCCATCAGAGGCATCCACCACTGTGGGAAGTTCATTACAGGAGTGGTTGGGCCAGAAGGGAATCAGACCAGATAGAAGGCAGGGTACCAAACCAAAGTGTAGAAGGGGGAAGGGAGT